TCAATTGAAGGAACTGTTTCAAGCATAAGGAGACCAGCTATCCAAGCAAATAATTTTGAAATTAAGCCAGCAACAATTCAGATGATTCAACAATCTGTGCAATTTTGTGGGTTGCCAAGTGATGATCCTAATGCTCATATTGTTAATTTTTTAGAGATTTGTGACACTTTTAAATATAATGGAGTTTCTGATGATGCTGTTAGACTAAGGCTTTTTCCATTCTCTTTGCGAGACAAGGCAAAGAATTGGTTAAATCCTTTACTTGTTGGGTCGATCACCACATGGGATATGATGGCTCAAAAATTATTAAGTAAGTTTTTCCCTCCTGCTAAAACTGCTAAGATGCGTAACGATATTGCCACTTTTGTGCAGCTGGATATGGAGTCATTATATGACGCATGGGAGAGATACAAGGAGCTACTTAGGAAGTGTCCACATCATGGTCTACCTATATGGTTACAAGTACACACTTTTTATAATGGTTTATTTCCTAATAATCGTACCATGCTTGATGCTGCTGCTGGAGGATCATTAATGAGTAAACATGCTGATGAGGGTTATAACCTCATAGAGGAGATGGCTTCAAATCGTTATCAATGGGGTTCAGAAAGATCACTCATTAAGAAAAATGCTGGAATTTATGGGGTTGATGCCTTTACTGCTTTGACAGCACAAATTGAGGCTTTAAACCAAAAGTTAACTAGGATGAATGTCTCAACCATACAAGCCACAAGCATTAATTGTGACTTGTGTGGGGGAGCACATCCTAGTTCTGAATGTCTAGAAAGTAATTCTTTTATTTCTTCATCTGAACATGCTAACTTTGTTGGTTTTAATAAGCAGCAAAATAATCCATACTCCAATACATATAATCCGGGATGGAAGAATCATCCAAATTTTTCTTGGAGTAACAACCAAAATATAGTAAAGCAACCTCCAGGATTTTAGCAACCACTTGAGAAAAAGTCAGATTTGGAGGATTTGTTGAAAAAATACATTGCGGTTAATGAATCAAGGTTTCAAAGTCAAGAAGCAGCAACCAAGAGCTTGGAAGCTGCAGTCCAGAACCAAGGTGCATCAATTCGAAATTTAGAGGTTCAGGTAGGTCAATTGGCAAGTGTAGTTTCTGGAAGAGCACAGGGAGCATTACCAAGTAGTACTGAAAAAAATCCTAAGGAGCAAGTGAAAGCTATAACATTGAGAAGTGGGAAGCAATTTGGAGATGAAGAAAGCTCAGACAATGAGGGTGAAAAAGAGAAAGCTCCAATGGAAGAGAAAAAATCTGAAGTGCCATCTAAAGAATCTGAAGAAGTCAAGTCTTATGTGCCTCCAATTCCTTTTCCACATAGATTGAAGCAACAAAAGCTAGATAAGCAATTTGCTAAGTTTCTAGATATTTTTAAGAAATTGCACATTAACATTCCTTTTGCAGATGCTTTAGCTCAAATGCCTAGCTATGCTAAATTCTTAAAGGAGATCTTATCTAACAAGAGGAAATTGGAAGAATATGAGACTATGAAACTCACTGAAGAATGTTCTACAATTCTTCAGAACAAGCTTCCCCCAAAGCTAAAGGATCCAGGGAGTTTTACAATTCCTTGCACAATTGGAAATTGTCATTTTGATAAAGTTTTGTGTGATTTGGGAGCCAGCATTAATCTGATGCCATTTTCTATTTTCAGGAAACTTGGGCTTGGAGAGGCAAAAGCAACAACAGTATCTCTTCAATTGGCAGATAGATCCATCAAACATCCACAGGGTATTATTGAAGATGTCCTGGTAAAAGTAGATAAATTTATCTTTCTTATTGATTTTATAGTTTTGGACATGGAAGAAGACCATGAGGTACCTCTTATCTTAGGCCGACCTTTTCTAGCCACTGGTAGAACTTTAATTGATGTGCAGAAAGGAAAATTGATGCTTAGGGTAGAAAATGAACAAGTTACTTTTAATGTCTTTGATGCCATGAAATACCCATCCGATATTGACTCTTGTTTTATGATGGAAACAATTGATGAAACAATTAATGAGATG